AAAACTTCCTTCGCCTTCGTTCCGCTTCATCCTTTTCTTTCGCTCATAGAGAGCCAACGGAAGTGGGATAAAGAGATGTGTAGGGAAGGCCGAGCGAGGGAAGGATAATGCGGACAAACATGCGATTAACAATCGGAAGCGATTGAAATCGGAATATAATGCCGAGATGCTGAGATGAAGATTTTAGAGCGGTAGATTTAAAAACATCCCGAGGGATTTCAAAAATTTATCTACCTGCGCGAACGATTATTTTCCGAAAATCGACGTATGCGACGCATTAATAAGACTGTACATGTAAATTTATGTGTACATTATAAATTTTCATATGAAAAGTATCATGTTTAGAAAAGATATAGATTACATATCTTAAAAAAATATTGCCTTCTATAAGCGTTAGGTTATAAAATGTTATAGAACATTGTTTTCTGTAATTTGTTAGCTATATTGGAGAAGATTGCAAACGACGATATTATATTTAACAAATATATAATTGTTCGGAATATCCAAAAGCACTATAGATTTTTAAGCGAACAGATATTCGAAGGAACGAGATGAAGGAGTATTTTTCCCTGTAAAAAAAGCTATTCAATCCATTGTGCCATGACGAACGATCATAGTAAATAGTATAATAGTAGAAGTAGCAGTAGCAATAATAGTAGAAAACTACAACTGGGGGAGCGACAAAAAGACAAACGAGATGAACGGATGGTCACAGCAAAAAGTCGAATGCTCACAGTCGGCGGTAAAACGGCGGAAGACCATTTCCTCGAACGTTTCTTCGCTGAATGGCCACGTTGCTTCAACTACTTGGACTCACGCACTATCGAGGTGCATCTCGATAAATACGTTAACAGAAACCGCGCGCGTCATCATTCTCGTCGAGCGTTCTTTTCTTCCATTTCTTTCTTATTCATAAATCCGTATAATGTATTCTCAAAGAGACATCGACGGATTGGATTTGCGAAAGCGGATAATTTTGTAAACATCAATAAATCGTAAACTCTTTAGATGAGCGTTTCTCCGGTTTTGAAAACTGTTAAAAAAAAAAAAAACTACATTTAAGATACAAAGTAATCAAAAATCCAGCGGAAAAATCTAATGACAAGTTTTGGCAAGTAGTTTCGAGATTTCCGTGGTCGCCTTACAGTAGTTGACGTTGTCGATGACGATAGGCCGGACAGGACGTACGCGATTGCCTCAATGAATGGACTGGCAACATCTAAATAGTCCAGTTATAGCAGACTTTGTATCGCCGGCAGAAAGAGCGGATATACTTCAGTTACGAGTCTTGTGCGCAATCGTCCCGTTTATTTCATTAAGCACTGCGGTCCCATAGCGCGACACATAAGCCAGCCGCGTTCAGACGTTTATTATTACGCAACAGTACAATCGCCGCGCGATGTGTAATCATCCTACTAATAATTCCGTTACCATACCCGAGAGACGAACGCGCGTCTCTAGATCTATTTATTAACAACGTAGAGATTTCCCGAGCCGATATCGGTCAATTGACCGAGCACATCTGACTCGACGTATTTGCGCACGTCGTATCACGCGCTGACGCGAAAAAGAGAAGAAAGTGATAAAATCGCTATTCCACAACAGATTGGCGAGACAATTGAATTTCCACGAAAGGCAAACGAGCGTTTCAATCGCTTTATTAATGACGCGGGTGCTTGTTTGTTTGCGCAGAACAGCGAGAAGGAGTTACCGGAGTGCGCGGACCGGAGCGAGGTATGTAGCAAGGTGGATTTATATGGTGCACCGTGGATCGAGAGACAATGTCGTTGTCCGAACGGCCATGCCTGTCCCAGCAGTCTTTACGGGGACGACGGACACACGATCGTCGATAAAACGCGCCGCTACAAGCTCTGCGAGCCTGTGAAACGACTTCCCATCTGTCATTTCTTCAAGTTAGTTGAATCACGACACGCATTCTCCGCTGTAACGCGGGCTCGACCGATTTCACATTGCATTATTAAATTTCATGTGAAGATCTCATTAAAAATTGTTGGTATATAAGTTTTATCTGCATAATAGTTGGATGAGATTATTCTACAAGTTTTTCATCCAGTTTTTCCGTAGACATAGAATTCGAGTTACTTCTCCGCGGGATAGACGACAAGCTATATACATTCGCGTCGAAATATCCTCATCTTGTCTATCGCAGGGACATTACATGGACATTGGCACCCGGAGGTGGCCCGGCGAACGCGACGGTACAACGAGTCTATTGTCGATGCCGGCCGAATAGCGTGACGTATCTACTACGTAGGCAACCTCACAGATCGCCAGACGGAAATCAAGGCTTCGTTTACGCCTTCGCCTGTTCTCCGCAAAGCGTAAGTCAACTGAATGAACGGGAGAAAAGGAATACACGAATTATTTATCTTTACGATGCACTTTCCAACGAATTTCAACGTTAAAATTATATCCTTCGATATCCGCCGATCTTTGCCGTGCACGTTTGCCGAGCACGTTTTTCCTTCGCCTTTTCCTTTACGTATTCGGCTGAACCGAGTCAGGAAATCTATCGTGGAGTCAATTTGCTATTCGTCTGTTCTCGTAGAAACTACGATGCCAGCACAAGGAGCCCTGTCGCCTGTTCACCGTGCGCAAGAGACGCAACTCGCAGCTCGAGGAAGTGAACGCCTCGCCCCTCTGCCAGTGCCCCCGTGGCCATCGGTGCCCACGACGGCACACGGATCCCGGTTCCACGCCGGCGAGGTCCTACGCCGGCGTTCTGGAGATCAAGACTTACAGCGGCTACTGCGTACCGTACCGCAGCTACGAAGAGATGACCTACGGCATCTGAGAGACCACGCGCGTTATAGAAAAACGGCCTTCCCCGCTCCCGCTTTCGGCACACATCGACGGTAGCGGCAACAAGGAAATCCAGGCTGTCTGCCAAACGCAAAATCCGCCCCGCACGACAACACCAAGCTTTAACGGATTTACTATTTTACCATACCATACCGTCTCCCCATAAAAAGAAAGAATGGTTAGGCTCCAGGAACTACGGCGAGTTCCGTCCGCCTTTTCAAGCGCATAACAATTGGCCATTTGGTACCTGTCGATTGTCGAGAAACGTTGCCGTAAAATCGAGAGGCTATGCGCAGTTTCCAATTCCCGAGCGTGGTGACGAGCGCGCACGTTCGGATGCGCACCTTCCGTGCGAGGGAGAAGCTCATCCAAACGATTATTTCTCCGAATAATCTTTCTAAATCTTTTCTCCTTTCCTCTTTTTTCCCCCCATCTCTCTCCCTTCGTTTTTTTTTTTTTTTTTTTTTTTTACCTCGAACGAAACACGAAACACTCGATTGCTCTTGATTCACGTTTCGCGGACAGGAAGCGTCTCGCGTAAGAAACGGGAAATTAACATACGTGTCGATCGATCGGCTGTACCAGCCATGTGATGCCGTGCCATGTACAATCTCCAGCGGCGTTGGCGAATATTAAGTGTAAAAAGTAATGTACAGAAGATATATAGAGATAAGAGAATCATGCCCGCCTACAATTTTGTACAGTATATTTCGAAACGATCGCCTCGTATTCTCGCAATGTAACATGGGCTTCAGTTGTCGCGCCCCGATCGCGCAACAAGGGTGACTCCTTTTTGGTTTTTCTTACTACTACCGATTTTTATATCGCCGCTTCGTAAAATATTGCAGAATAGTCGCAGCTATCATCACAATCACTGTTTTAAACTTGTATATATTCGTCTCTGGTCTTCCGAAAGTGTTCTCATTCGGGGAGTATATTGTATATGGTAGCATTGCAAGACGATTCGGAAGAGACTCTCTCGATGTTATTTGTTACTTTTATTTTAACTTAATAAAAAAAAAGTATATGTGTGTGTGTGTGTGTATGTGTCAATGTTATTTATTATTACAGTTTCCAATCTTTCCTTCTTCAAGAAAAATAATGTTCAAATAAATGAATTTAAAATCAGTTTGCTTACACATTGCTGCGACATAAAAACATGATAAAATGATAAAGAAGTGATCTATCGATCTTCGAGATTGTTGTGAATGGATGCAGGTAAGAGGTTAAGGATAAGGACGTGCAAAACAACCATCGTTCTATCGCAAGTCGATAAAGAAGATATCGTTATAGCAACAACATGGTTTGTTAATTATACAACACGTAGATTTTAGCGAGATATGCTGTATCGGTAACGAATTATTTCAATTTAAAGCATTAAAGAGATTTTTTTTAATTTTGTCATAATAAATTTACTAATTTGTAATTAATCAATTTGATCACTATGTGTTCTCATACGAGGAAACACACGACAAATAATACAACAATGTTATCTCAAGTTCTTTTAATTAAAATGTAAAATTTTTGGGGGGATTATATCATCATTAAAGTTAAACCAGCATTTTAAATAATATTCATTTCTCTTTCCCATTAAAGATATCGCTCAATTCACGAAAAGGAAGAGTAAGGAAGAATAAGGAATTCGTGTAATATCTATTTCGTAGAATGCAATAATGGAATTCAAAATCGGATGCTTTCCAAGTGAGTTCTCCTTGCGCGAGCACAAAGGAACTGGCGCTCTCCTAGGCGAGTTATTCTTTGGGTAACTTGGCACAAGCAGAACGCGAATGGACGTCGGAAGCCGTGAGTTATCTGTGAGAACGTCACGGTCCATCACCCGCGACTCGCGGATGCTCCACTCTTGTTGTGCACGTTACCATCTGCATGGCACCGTTACCGCCGCACCGCGCCGTCTTGATTCGAGTTTCCGAATTGAGTTCTCTTGCGCGGCGCGCAAAAATGCGCCGAAATGCGCGTTTGAACGAATGATTAAAAAAATTGAGCGACATCAAATTAATTCGCGACCTTTATCAATCGAGAAATCGAGACGACGCCGCCGCCGCCGCCGCCGTCATCGTAGATATTGCAGATAAGAAGCTAGCAAGTAAACTCTTATGGTTCAATCAATTGCAATTGCAAATACGACATAAATTATTTCAAGTAAAAATTAAAATAGAATGTAACATTATTTTAATTTTAATGAAAATGTAATTGGATTAAAAATAATATCAAAACTCTCTGCAAAGTCTAGTAGCGTCAGTTATTCGTAATGCAGTAATGTAATTGCTGCAAAATTGCTTGCATGTCCAATAGTCCTCGTAGGATTCACGTCTAACTTAGAAAGTGAACTCTCTCATAAATATGAAAAGGGTTTTCCTCCCAGTAAAAATTTATTCGAACATCGCGTGTTTTCATAACGACGCCTTTTATAGACATTGAATATCTTTGTAATCACGAATCTCTCTCTCTCTCTCTCTCTCTCTCTCCGCGAATCCTCGTGTGGATCCTCGGGCCATATGCCCGGGGAATATTGACGATTCTACATTCACGAGCCGTACATCTTTTCCGACACACTTCTCACGGGACTTTTTTACTACGCGTTATATTCGTTCCTCTCTTTCCGCGAAGGCGCGAACCGCACTCGCCTCATTTCGAGCGCAAAAACCGACTGGAGTAAAGAGCGGGTCAGTTTTTCCGATTCCTAATGGTCAGCTGGAGGCTGGAGGCTGGAGGCTGACGTTCCCGTCGATGGAGTCGTCGATATCGACGCTGAATCTCCCCGACATTCTCCTTGCCGTTTCGCGGCGAAGAAAAACACGCGAACTATGGCCGAGCGATTCTCCCGAGCGGTTGTTGCGCACCGCAGACAATGATTAGCGTCCACGTCAAATTGATCTTATGCCTAACAGATAGCCGCAGACTTTCACCGAGGTGAATCGCGCGCGGCCGAGAAGAATACACGTTCGATCTTTGGAGAAAGGCCCCGCGCGCGCTGTACGTGTTACTCGACATCGTGTCCACGATGGAAAAATCGCGATAAAGCAAGAGCCTACTCGACGATGATGGCCACGAAGTAATAATCGTGAGGTATGCTCTCTCGCGTACGCGATTCGTAAAAATGATCATCGGTGTGCTGTTGAATTTACAAGGAGGAAACATGGCTCGACACGTCGACAGATCGCTTCTCTCTGTAGGCTTCAACTTTCTAAAATAATTCGCGATTTATGTTTACTTGCTAATTAAATCAGTTAAATAAGCAGTAAGACTTGCCTCTACATTTTCAAGTTGTTCTTTTTTTTTCAAGTTTGTTAACGATTTACAGACGAACGAAAGAAAAAGAGAAAGATAAATCCTTATCCATCATCTTTGTTCCATTATTGACGCATTTTTATTGACGTTGGTTTCCATCCATTACAAATAAATATATATAAATCAATTTATAAGCCCTATACGAACAGAAAATGAGCAGAAAGTTTCTAGCTTTAGGCTGCGAAAATTTCTCTCTATTTGAAAGGTGAAGATACGTGGGAGTTCAGTCGAGGTCTAATAGGTCTCAATGTAATGTTCCCAAGATCAAAGCGACGGACAGCCGATAGCTACTTCAAAGAGCAGTTCTCTCAACTTGTAAATATCTCTCGTGATTTCCAATTATACCAAAGAAAAAGAAGAAAAGGAGAAAAGAAAGCAAAGACACGCGGGACTTCTCTCTCTCTCTCTC